TGTTGTGCATGTGTGTGCATGTTGAACATTCAATCCCCAGTTCCCAATTGTCTCTCTATCACAGCTCCTCAGTATCACTCCAATTTACTGGGTAAAGAAGATTTTTTTTCCTATACTCTGTCAGGAGCTGCATTTTCAAGGTGCACAATATTATTACATTGTGGTGGATGAACTTTTGCTAGACATTACCATATCCTAGTGATTATCACATTCTTCTGCTCCCTGGAGCATATTCCCCTTTCTCATTTTTCTCTTCTGGTTTCACTATTTTCTGCCTTTCCATTTCAATTTTAAAAGCAACATGCCGAGATTACTTCTGTGGAGAGAAATAATCTGCCTTCTCCAGTGTCTACTGCTGGGGATGAACATAATGAGCTTTCAATAAAAATGGAATTGTTGGCATGGTCAATGATAACATTTCTAAATGGTAATAATAATGGTATCACACAATAGTTACACTTGATGGCTCTACTATATGGGACCAGCAGAAGAGCTTCAATAACATTTAGGCTTCCATCGAGAGGAAACATAAGTGGCCTAGTTTGCCTACTCAGTTTTCATTGTTCTCTGTCATAGAAAGGATTGGGGCAGTCTCACTTTTGCTTGTGGGTCTCACAAATTCTGATCTATCTATCTCCTTTAAATGAATTTACTAGGGCCTATGATCTTCATAAAGATTAAAAAGGGCATGCAAAAATACTGACTACAAAAATGAAGGTGCCAATATTTTTTTTTCTAAAATAAAATTAAAAAAAATAATAATAAAGGAAATCTAGCCATCCAGGTTTGGCTTGGAAGTTGAAATCTATGGTTTGGAGCCCTTTGAGATTCAGTGCTATTGGGCTGTATAAAAAACAGATTTTGTTAAGTTAGTTTTCATTCTATTTATGCCTTTGTCATTTCCTTTAGTTCTTAAGTGAAAATAACATGTAAAAATCACTGCTCACAAGTTTAGAATTTGTCATCCATTATTTATTGTGATCCTTCTTGCTCTACCCACCACCTCACCCTAAGAAGTCAACTACCAGTTAAATGGATATTTAAGGCCCTATAATTCACAGTATAGTATCTATTTTGACTGTATTTAATGACCAACACTTTCTACAAATAAGCTAAAGTGTGTTATTGTATAAGCATTTATCTTCTCTACTTTATCTGCCCTTCTAAAACACTGTTACCTCAACACTGTATAGAAATTCTCTTTCATTTCTGTGGACCACTGGGTGTATCTTTAACAATACACAGGATTAGATACAGCACTTGCCTTCTTATAGGTTAGTACATGCTGGGGAAAAAATACAGAATTCATTTCTCTTAGCAAAGAAATGCAAATGTGCCAGCCCAGTGGATAAGCACATGTTTTTTTTTTTTTTTTTTGCTGGGTAGTATCCTCATCTTGTTTAGTTTTTTGTTTTTAATCTGAAAAATGAGGATAGAGCTACTAACTGGTATAGTGGATACAACACTTTGCCTGAAGTTAGTGAAGATCTGATTTCATATATAGCCTCATCCACTTACTGACTCTGGGTAAATCACTTAATCCTTATCTGCCTTAGCTCCTCATTTGTAAAATGGGGACAATCTGGAGAAGGATTCTCCAGTATCTTTGCCAAGGAAACCTCATGGAGTTTGTCCCTGAGGTCATGTAGAGTTGGATATGACTGAACAAATGAACAAGAACAACAATAACAAAATGAGAAAAATGATAGCACTTACCTCTGGCTTTCCATGAAGAAGACACGCTCCACTTCTCAGCTTTGGGCATTTTCTCTGACCGTTGCCCATGCCTGCAATGCTCTCCCTCCTCAACTCTACCTACCAACTTCCCTGGCTTCCTTTAAGTCTGAACTAAGCTCCCTTCTCCTATAGGAAGCCTCCTCTAACCCCTCTTAATTTCAGTGCCTTCCCTCTGTTAATTATCTCCTATTCATCTTGTATATGATTTGCTTTGTATATATGTCATCGTATGTTGTTTACTTCATTAGACTGTAAAGTTGGAGGGCACCGACTATCTTTTACCTCTTTTTGTATCCCCAGTATTTATCACTGTGCCAGGCACATAGTAGGTACTTAATAAATGTTGACTGATTGATAATATATCTAATTCTTAAAACACAACCCAGCAAAACAAGTACTAGCCCATTTGCCCTTGTTTTCTACCATAAGAAATCAGGATAAGATCTATCAACAGTAAATTAGTGACTAGAAGGTTGGTGAATAGTTGATTTTTTTTAAATTAATGCAACTCATGAAAACTGCATATAGAATATAAACCATCTTCACTTCCGCCTTTTATATCCCTAATTTCCTTTAAAGTATGGCCCAGGTGCTACTTCCCACTTGGGACCTTTCCTGATCTCCAATTTTTAGTACTATTTACTTTTTAAAATTGTATATTCATATCTGGGTGCATTTTGTTATCACCTAACCCCACCCGCCCAGCAGCATATGAGCATTTTGAAGCAAAACATTTGTAGGCCAATATGATAATGTGCAGACCCTGGTCAGACTGATGCCTTATCCTTGCTCCCTGACTACCATAAAACAGACCAGGGAAGTTTTAGTTAACTTTGTCCTGAAGTGACTTGAAATCCAGCTGTAGACTCTTTGGACAAGGAGTATATAATAATGCCTTATGGATTAGGCAGCAGGTCCTATGAGATTTCATGGAGCCTTTTCATATGCTGCTTTAAAAACAAAGCAAAACAAAAACAAAATACCTTCAGGGGAATGTTTTTACCTGGAAGTAATTGAATATGTTTTGACTAAAGTAATTGCCTGAACCCTGGGGTTGCAAGTGTTCCATTGAATCAAATATGGAACCCTTTTCCAAGACAGGAAGGTTATTTTATTTTTGTCTTTGTATCTTCTCAACTAGCAGAGTGACTTGCTCACGGCAGACACTTAATGAAAATTTGTGCAATTGAATTGAATTAATGAATGAGAATCAAGCTACAGATATAGCATAATGAGAAATTTAGACCAAGCTCTCCTTTCTACCAATTTTGATAGTGTTTGAATGGGGCCAAAATTTTGACAAAACTCTAATTGTGCCAGCCAGAGGCAGGAATTTCTCTTCTCTCAGCTCTAATTTTGGTAATGGGCAATTAGAGAGGCAGCAAAGAAGATGAAGGTAAAGAGTGAGGGGAGGCAAAATAGTGATTTTAGGTGCCTAATGATTTTGACAAACTATTACCATGTGTACTGACGAACACATTTTTTTTAAAGACCAAAGATGGAACTGATGTATTTCAGTAATGACATCTATAAAATTTAGTTCAAAATGATGGTGCTACAAATATCTGATAGAAAAGTTTCTTTGGTAGCATTATTGGAGATATAGTTGGAAAAGAATATTGGCCAGGATACACCATTTGTCTGATCCAGTATATGAATTTTTTCCTTCATTTTTTTTTTTTGTCCCTGAGGTGTAATTCCATTCATGTAGAGGGTGCTCCTGGTGATAAAACTCCCTCTATGCAGGTCAGCAACTCATCTCTTTATTATAGTCTTAAACTGCTACTGGGAGGCACTGAGAGGTAGTGACTTGCTCACGGTCATTCAACTTGTATGTTTCAGAGGTAATGCTTAAATCCAGGTTTTTTCAATTCCAAGGACAGGACATCATCCACAATGGTATTCATCTCTATCATTTCTTATGTTTATACATATTCAGTATAAGTGTAGAAATTTATTCTCACATCGATGATTGCCATACCCCGATTCCTAAGCCCAGCTTCCTTAAAGCACTTCTAATGTATCAGAGCAATCACCTTTTACTTCTTGCTGATTGTCCTCTCAGTGCCAAAAGCAAGGACAGGACCATTTAAGCAACCCATACAAATGAGTTACAAAGAGGAAAATCTTTTGGAGATGCAAAATTAGCTGGATTGACTGAATGAGTCATCCTAAATTCATTGAATTATTGGTCATGTTGTCATGTACTCTTCTTTAGCTGAATGATTAGCCAGTCAGCAATCATTGATTGCATAGCTGGGATCAGTCATGAACCTGACTTTGTGAAATCTTAATTTAAAGGATCACTCTCAAGTCTCACTGCACCTACTGAACTGGATTTTGTCCTAATGCTGCTGCTGCTGCTACTGCTACTACTACTACTACTACTACTACTACTACTACTACTACTACTACTACTACTACCATTACCACTACTACTACCACTACTACTACTACTACTGCTATACTACTACTACTACTACTACTACTACTACTACTACTACTACTACTACTACCATTACCACTACTACTACCACTACTACTACTACTACTGCTACTACTACTACTAATTCTACTAGCTGATATCTCTATCATACTCTAAGGTTGACTAAGTGCATTCCTCACAAAAAGTATTTAGTTCATTTGAACCTCACAATCATCTTACAAAGTATGATATAGTATGATTATCTCTATCTCATATCTGAGGAAATGATACCCAGAGAATAATAATAGCTAACCTTAAGTGGCACATTAAGGTTTACTAAGTGCTTTAGAGAGATGATCTTGCTTGATTCTCAAATGTGAGGGTGGTATTATCATCTCCCCCATTCTACAGACAAGGACACTAAGGCTGAGGGAGATCCATTGACATTCTCAGGGTCACACAGCTCATAAGTATTAAAGGTAGAATTTCAACTGAGGACTTTCTGACATCTAGTCCAGCATACAACACTATGCCATCTGGTGTCCTTGAGAGATATAGTGATTCTTCTATCTATGACTACCCAGCTAGCAGGTGTTACAAAGAATATCTGAATCCAGGTCTTCTTCACTCCCTAGTGGAAAACATACTTTTTACGATGCCACACTAAATAGAGACTACCCTCAACTAAACAGTATAAGAGCAACAACAAATCTCTGAAAAGACTGGGTTTTTTTCCCCTGGGGAATGTTGGACAGAATTTATTTTCTTTATGCTTGGACCTTGCATTCAAATGGCAGTGAGGACAAGAATATGGGGTAGCAGAGGAACGTAGTATTACCTTCTGGCATAAGAGAATGAGTTTTCTGCCTCAATCACATGGCAGAAATGGCAGGGCAAGGTTCACGTTGAAAAAGGATTCAGGAAGCTGTTTAATAAAACTACAAAGGGGAAAGAGGCAGTTATTTTGACAGTAGCCATGGGTTCACAAAAGGCATCCTATCCCCTAATTTCCTGGACAGAAGCCAGAGGAAAAAAATGTCAGTGTAACTATTTAGTTAATTATTCAGTTATATTTATGAGTGCCTATTGCTCAAAATAGCAAGGAAGCAATACTAGACATGGTTTTTAGTTATTCAAAGGATCATAGATCTAGAATTGGAAAATGACTACAGAGGCTGCCTAGTCCAAAACCCCCAGTTTTTCAGATGAGTAAAATGAGGGTCAGGAGGGTTAAGTAATTTGCCCAGGGTCACTCAGGGAGTAAGAATCAAGAGTAGGGTTTGAATTTAGGTTTTCTGATGTCAAATCCTGTCTTCCTTACACTCTTTCTTGAATTAGGAACTTAAAATAAACATATATATGCATATATATGAACTTAAAAATTGAATTATAATGTAAGAAGGAAGACAAGTAACTACAAGTGATCCAAACTGACAAATTTCTATACACTATTACCAGACAAAGACATTCACAAACGTTAAGAAATTAGTGATGCTAAGAGTGATAGAAGGTAGGGCAAGGTCAGAGTTAGATCGTAAGATCCTTAAAGTCAGAGACCCCATCTCATTCATCGTTACTTGCCCAATGCCTAATATTTAGGTGCTCAAAATGAATTTAGGTTTTATCTTGGTTGTTGCAGTTCTGTAGAGAAAGGCTTCCAACCTTAGTTAAGTTCCTTCAGATCCATAGCCAAACCTATAGAATAATTCTATAGTCATGGACATTTTGTAGGTGGTAATCCTGTTCACATTTCTGTGCTGTGACTCCCAGAGACTCCTAGACATAAGGCAAGGAGTGAAGGTCCTCAAAGCTCTCTCCATGTCACATAATTTAAAACTCACTCTAACAGTATAGTCCACTTGACCAATCAACAAACATTTGTAAAGTACTTATGGAACGCTAAGCACCTCTCAAGTAATGAGGATATAAAAAAAAAAAAGAAAAAAAAATGCCTCCTGTCCTGAAAAACCTTACAAGGTAGGATAATTTGGTATGCTTTGTCTTTTGTCTTGGCTGAATGCGTGTTGCCAGTCTAAATCACCAGCAGTATCCTGCTGCCAGAGGTTATGATATCTCTGATATCCCTGATATCACATGATATCTGTGATTACTACTCTATCTGGAATGTTATTCCTCAAAGTTATTCAAGCCAGATACCAAAATTCTTTGTGCTCTTCTATGCCTGTTCCTATAAGCACTATTACTAGTACTGATGCAATACATGTCTGGAATGAATGAATGTTATGAGTTAATAAATGAGTAGAAGAAGTGGGACCTGAGCAGTATTTTGAAAAAAGGGATGAAAGACTAGAGAATTGCTCTTAAGACATATTCCTCACCATGCTTAGTCTTCATCTTCCATTAGTTCTACCAGGTGATATTGTTCTGGCATTAGCGTTTAGCCTTAACTTTTTTTTTTAATAGTTTGTGTGTATTTTATTTTTTTATTTAAAAAATTTATTCTTTATTTTTAACATGTTTTTCCTTTTTAAATTGAGTTCTAAATTCTCTCCCTCCCTTCAAAACCTCCACCTCCTATGGAGAAGGAAAAAAAAATGATGTAACATACATGTGAATTCATGCAAAATACATTTCCATATTATACATATCACAAAAAAAGCAAAAATAAAGAAAACAAAAAAAATTCTTCAAATTGTACTCAGAGTTCAGCATTCTCCCTGTGGAGGTGGATAGTGGTTTTTTTTTTTTTCCATCATGAGTCTTTTGTATTTGTCTTGGATCATTGTAATGATTAGAGTAATCAAGACTTTCATAGTTACATTATAGTAATCATTACAACATTGCTGTTACTGTGAATGATGATCTGCCAGTTCTTCTCACTTCACTTTGTATTAGTTCATATAGTAATATATAGTAATATATATTTATATATTATACATAGTAACACACACACACACACATATATACATACATATATTTTATATAGGTCTTGCCATGTTTTTTTTTCTTCTGAAATCTCTCTTCTCTCATTTCTTACAGCACAATAACACTCCATCACAATCATATGCCACAACTTATTCAGCCATTCCTTACTTGATGAGTATCACCTTAATTTCCAATTCTTTACTACCACGAAAAAAGCTGCTATAAATATTTTTGTAGATATATATACCTTTCCTTTTTCTTTGAACACTTTGGGCTGCAGACCTAGGAGTGGTTTTGCTAGGTCAAAAGGTATGTGCAGTTTTTATAGCCTTTTAGGCATAGTTCCAAATTGTTCTCCAGAATGGTTGGACCAATTCGCAACTCCCCCAAGAGTTTATTAGTGTACCTATTTTCCCTCATCCTTTTGCTGCATTTGTCATAGGTCTGAGGTAATATCTCAGAGTTGTTTTGATTTGCATTTCTCTAATCAATAATGATTTAAAGCATTTTTTCATTTGACTATAGATAGCTTTGATTTCTTCACTTGAAAACTGCCTATTCATAGCCTTTGACCATTTATCAATTGGGGAATGCTTGTTATTTTTATATTTTTTACTCAGTTCTCTGTGTATATGACAAATGAGGCCTTTATTAGAGAAACTTGTAAAAATTTTTGATATTACTTCATTGTCCATGGTACATTTTATTAAAATGTAGTTTCTCTGATTATTTCTTTTAATTGTCTATTGTTGCTTTTGCTTTGTCTGAGATTATGATTGTTACGCCTGCCTTTTTTTTTTTTTACTTCACCTGAAGCATAATAGATTTTGTTTCTACCCTTTGTTTTAACTCTGGATTTGTATTTCAGTTTCAGGTGTGTCTCTTGTAAACAACATATTATCAAATTCTGGTTTCTAATCCATTCTGCTATCTGCTTCACTTTCAAGGGTGAGCTCATCCCAATCACATTCACAGTTATGATTACTAAGTGTGCATTTCCGTTCATCTTATTTTCTTATATTTATCCCACTCCCTCTCTTTTTTATCCATCCTTTCTTAAAATTCTGTTTTGCTTCTGAGCACCGTCTCTCTTGATTTGTTTTCCTTTTGATCATCCACCCCATTCCCATATCTCTTATCCTCTTCCCTGCTTATTTCTCCAAGATAGGTATCTATAGCTAACCTAGTACATGTATATATACATATATACACATACGCACATACGTATATATTTTTACCTCTCCCAAATTCTGATGAGAGTGAGGTTCAAATATTACCTGCCACCACCAACCCCCATTTTCCCTCTCACTATGAAGCTCTTCCTTGTGTATCTGTTTTATGTAAAATTTTTCCCCATTCTGCCTCTCTCTTTCCCCTTCTCTTATTACATTCTGCTTTCTCACTCCATTTTTTGAGATCATCTAAACATAATTAACTTACACTCATGCTCTTTGTCTATGTAGACTCCTTCTATCTGCCCTAATAATAGTAACGTTCTTAGAAGGTGTATTATTTTCCCATACTGGAATATAAATAGTTTAACTTTATTGAGTACCTCATGATAACTCATTTTTACATTTTTATGCCTCTCTTTAGCATTATGTTTGAATGTCAGATTTTCTATTCAGCTCCATTTTTTTTAATCAGGAAAAAAGTCCTCTATTTTGTTAAATGTCATTTTCCTCCATGAAGGATTATACCCAGTTTTGCTGAGGAGGTTATTCTTGGTTCTAATCCTATCTCTTTTGCTTTCCAGTCTATGATTTTCCAAGCCCTCTGTTCCTTTAATTTGGAAGCTGCTAAATCTTGTGTGATTGTGACTGTGTCTCCATGATATTTGAGTTGTTTCTGTTAGCTTGCAATATTTTCTCCTTGACTTTGGTGCTCTGGAATTTGGCTATAACATTCCTGGGAGTTTTAATTTTGGGATCTGTTCCAGGAAGTGATTGGTGGATTCTTTCAATTTCTATTTTTTGTCCAGATCCAAGATATTGGGGGCAGTTTTCCTTGATAATTTCTTGAAATATGATGTCTAGGTTCTTTTTTTGATCTTGTCTTTCAGGTAGTCCAACAATGCTTAATTTATCTGTCCTCAATCTATTTTCCAGTTATTTTTATGATGAAATATTTCACATTTTCTTCTACTTTTTTCATTCTTTTGACTTTGGTTTACTGCTTCTTGATGTCTCATAAAATCATTAGCTTCCATGTGTCCAATTCAAATTTTTAAGGAATTATTTTCTTTAGTGAGCCTTTGTACCTCCTTTTCCATTTGCACAATTCTTCTTTTTAAGAAGTTCTTTTCTTCAGTGAATTTTTTGTGCCTCTTTTACCATTAGGCCAATTCTGTTTTTTAAGGTGTTATTTTCTTCAGTGTTTTTTGTTCCTCTTTACCAAGTTGTTAACTCTCTTTTCATAATTTTCTTGCATCACTCTCATTTCATTCCCCAATTTTTCCTCTACCACTCTTATCTCTTTGACTCTTGTTGACCTTGCTGTCTATTAGTATTTTTCTTTGAGCCTTTTTTTGCAGCTAATTTTACACTGTTGTATTCTTTTGAATTTATGTCTTGACCTTCTCTAACATCATAGGAGCTTTTTGTGATGAAGTTTTTTTTTTTTATCACTTTCCATCCTATTTCTTCATTTTTAACTTTATGTTAAAGTTGAGCTCTGCTTACTTAGGGGTGAGAAGGCACTGTCTTGAGTTTCATGTTTTTTTGTGCTGCTGATTCAGAGTTAGTCCTGAGAGTCTGTAAGTTTTCAGTGCTTCCTAGTTGGTGTGATGCAGGGAGAGATGTGATCACTGCTCTCTTGGTCTGTGCTCTGGTTTTTAGCTAGGAAGGGCCCTTGCTCCCCTAAAGTCACAAGTGCTAGTGCTCTTTCTGGCCTTGGAATTGTGACTAGGTCCCTGGCTTCCCTACAGCCATAAGCAGTACAGTTCCTTTCTTTCTTGGAACTGAGACCTGGACCCCTCCTCCCTTGTCACTGACCACAAGTGGTTCTCAATATCCTGAAACTGTGATCCAGAACTGCTTATGGCTAATAGAGT